GAATAATCTACCTCACTACATCCGCTACACTGAGAGTAAATTATCTTTTAAAAAGAATCTGAGACTCCATTTGATGCCCTGAAGTGTTTCTGTTTTATTGACTGTTTTATTATATTTGTTCTTGTTTTATTGGCTGTTTTATTTTACTTGTTCTTTTGTACTTCCTATAGTAATTTTAAGAAATTACATTTTTGGAAATTTTTATATTTGTAACTGTTTTTACTGTATGTTTTTAATGTGGACCCCAGGAAGACTAGCTGTTTGCCATGGCAACAGCTAATGGGGATCCTTAATAAAATTACAAAATTACAAATTACACTAAAGAAGTAATAACCATTCAGCCAATTAGTATTTTCACATCAGTGGGGTGTCAGCTTCACACAGCTGAAACTCCTCCTATCTGATGATGCAGTCCAGGATGTAAACACTGCATCTGAAATGCAGGGCGATGAACCCCCCGTGGTGCTCGCAAAAATCACCTTGGCCATGGTGTCCGGCCTGAATACAATATTTCTATTTGTTTTGTTCATGCCATTAAGTGTAAGAGATCCGTTACTCACTCGTTAGAAAATCTGAAACAGTGAGCTGCAGACAAGAGCCACCTATCCGAGATGACTGAGGCGCCACAAGCATGGCCAGTTGTCCGGTAGTGAAGGCTGACCTGCCAGGGCCACTCTCCAGTGTCTGCGTTCTGCCCTCCTACGATGCGGTTCAGCTTGTAAGGCCTGGTGCCGCAGTCTTGAATTCAACAGAGATTTGTTACAGAGAAGAAATTCAAAACAGCAAATAATGAGAATACATTAACAGAACATTGACAGATGCCAGTCATTGCCGTCACTGCTCTTGTTCATTAAAATATAATAATACACCTTTAGGCTTAAACATAGGAGATGTAAAATCAAAATATGAAACATGATGCATTTCTCAAGGAAAATTCGAAATAAATTCCCATGGCCTGGGGCTGTTTTTCCTAACAAACAGCCCAACATGCTGCACGACTAAGCAACTATAATCAGTATCACTGACAAGATTAGAGTCAGCTTTGGCAGTCTAAAACAGAAAAAAGAACCCCGGATTGAAAGAACAAGAGATTTTGAGAAATATCTCACCACAGATAGCTTCATCTGAATTATCAGAGCAGTCACTGACACGGTCACATTCAGCATTCACCTTGTTGATGCATTGCCCGCTGGTGCATTTAAAGCTGTAGTCAGAGCACATATTTGGAGCTGCAAAAGGCGGTGAAAAGATAGTGAAAACAAATGTTTAACAGGGCAAATACTGTGCAATTAATGAGAAGTAAATGTGAGGCTCCAATTCAAAATGAGAAGTGATTGAGGAGCAGATTAAAGTGAGCATTGACTGAGATTAAGGCTTAATATGCCCCCTTATTCACAGAAGTGAAAATTTGAAGAAAATTCAAGGAATAAATAAATAAAAAAAGAGCACAAAGAAAAAATACTTTGAACTAAGATAGCCCAAAGCGATACATCTCTGTTAAATCCAACAAAACGCTGAGGCTGTACTGTAATTTTTATCAATCTGAAAAAATCATCTTGTAGCAGAAAAAAAACTGGTTATCCACTTACAGCTTTCGCATGAGGCCTCATCACTTCCATCCTCACAGTCCTTCAAATTATTGCAGATAACGTCTTGGGGAAGACAAACCCCGTTTCCACATTTCCACTCATTTGGCTCACAACCGGCTGTTAAAAAATCAAGTTTAAACGGAAATTATATTGACAGAAAGACAGCAGGCTTGCAGCAAATACATTTTTCAGCATCCATATTCACTTTTCTTGCAAGTATTTTAGGATTTAAAGTGAGATATCTCTGCAGCTAGCCCAAGGATCAGTGACCATACCACATCAACACTAAACATTAGCTTGTTATTGATAATGTAAATCCCTTTATTGTTCCACAATGAGGAAATTTGTTCTCTGCATTTTGACCCACCCCTTGGGGAGCAGTGGGCTGCCATTGTGTGGCACCCAGGCAGCAATAAGGGCTTAAGGGTTTTGCACAGGAACCCAGAGTGGAGGATAAATAGCACTATATTTATCAACATGTAAATTGTTGATCTTTCATTTCAGCTATGTGATAAAATCCCTGTTTGATAGAGAAAGACAAAAGGCCAAAAGCAATGTGGACAACAGTACTAAGACCATATTAGATTCCTTGGTGTATTAGTTGCTTGGTGCTGGCCATGATTAGGCTTTAGAATGAGGTCAGTATGCAACTGCTTTTAGAAATGATCAGAGGCAGTTACAAAGGTACCAAATAGCCATGACTCATTCCTAACCCGAAACTGCTCCTATAAACCACAGACTTTTGCTCAGTTTTTCTGAAGCTATTTCCAGTCAGTTGCTATGACCTAGATAACTGAGAATGTACAGCCATGCTGCTCTAATGTTACTCTAAGCTGAATTCACTACTAGACTTACAGTCGGCTCCACAATGAAACTTTCTGGTTTCAACAAGGACATTTTGTTCAAACTCAAACTAAATGATGGGTGCAGCTAGTGGCTAAGAAAACAATACGACACTTGGTAGTAAACTTACAATCACACATAAATTATTTACAATGTATTTGTAACATGAAATTTATTATTTTTGGAAAAACTTCTCAATGCCAACCCCTGGTTCAGTCCGCCTGCTTCACCTCCATCATATAGCCACAGACAACGTTTCATAAACAAAGGCAGAGACGGCGAATCAGTGATGTCTGGTAGAGAAGCTGATGTCTAAGAAGACATCCAGTAATGGGAAAGAACTGATTTTTATCTTATAAGCAATTGATAAAAACTCATTGTAATTTAAGAACTAGTTTGAGAATCCCCTTATAGTGATGTTAACATAGCCAGGTGTCAAAGTCAGGATCATAAAATAACTCTGGAACACTGAGGAGAGTAGCATTACTTACTGCAGTGTTTCTCATCACTTCCATCTCCACAGTCGTTCACCCGATCGCAACGCCACATTTTTGGCTTGCATAAACCATTACTGCAGGAAAACTGTTCTTCTGCACAACCTGAAAGAAAATTTATTTCCATAAAAAAAAACAAATGAACATGAACAAATATATACAAATCTGCATTGACAACAAATAAAAACCATTATGGTCAGTTATTACTTTTCTGACAAGTAAAAATTGAATAGTTTTATAAAATATCAAGGTGCCTGAATTAGACATAAAGGCCAAAAAGAGTAGTTGCTTACAGAGATTACAAAGGATTATAGAAAAGCTTGGTCATATCATTGTCAGACGTGTTAAATTTTAAGATTCCTGGAAGTACAAAAGTATGCATTACATTTGGTAAAGTAAACCTAATTGCTTAACCATAACAACTGAATAATTTATTGGAGGCTTTCATTTTTCTAAGGAGATAAATGTCTGTATTTTGGTAATTGAAACCATAAGTTGTGTTTCTGAAGTTTTTGTCAAATGCTGTCTTTGTGACCTAAAGAGTTGACACATATGAGTTATTTTAAATGATTCCTCAGGCCAATATGCAGCGCTTGACACTATCAATGCTCGAGCAGGCCTCCCCTCTTGAAATACCATCTATGAAAGTTGGGAGAAGACGCACTGTTGTTATGTGACCTGGAAGAATATATCGCCGAACCTAGAAGCCTAGCGTGGACCCCAATCAAAAGACATGCAAGGCTGGCCGGCTGAGTGTTTGGTGACTTTTGCGACAGGTATAGCACCCCCTAGTGGTCAAAATTTACATGGTGTGTCCTTAAATTAAGCCTATACTTGCGTGAAAACCTAGAGGGTTGCTTTAAGGAGCGAAATAATCTTGCACGATCAACTTACTGCAGCTCTTCTCATCGCTCAAGTCGCCGCAGTCATTCCAGCCATCACACTTTAGTTTTTTTTCGATGCACATGCCATTTCTGCAGGCAAACTTGCCAGGACAAGCTGATCACATGCACAAAAGATAAGATCATAGACAAAAGTGATACAGTCAGTGAGATGAAAGCAACAATGTGTGTACAGCATGTATCAAAAAACAGATCAAACAGAGCTGATGTCAGACAGAAGAGATACTCTTGTCTAACAGCTGCAAATAAAACATAAATACTACAACCATTTGCTCATTAGTCTAACTCCTTTATTTCACTCCTAAGGTTTTCAAGTGGGGATAAATAAACTGTTTTTCCTTGACAGTCCATCCTTTTGTCTTTCAAAGCAAAAAAATTACTACCCATGAAGGCGCTGGCCAATAAAAAATAAGAATTAACTTACGGTCATTAGGATCAAATTCATTGTACTGTGCAAAAAAGCCTTTGTCGGTGTAGGACTCATCGGAGTGGAACTTCACCTCAAGAATGTTGGAATCACTGGTCAGAGCCAACGACGATAGTTCTCCACAATATCTGAAACACAGAACCAATAAATTTAAAATGTGACTGGGTTTTAGTACATAATGTGAGGTGACAGAATGTTTGTATTCAGGCAGTGTTTTAGGTTACTCAGTAAAATAATATGACCAGACAGTCAGTTGAACAAGTAGTATTAAATAGGAAGAAATGTAAAACTAACAAACATCTTTTAAAATCCAAATTAAGGGCACTAAAAACTACAATGTCCTACGATGTGTTTGACTCCTAATTAGGCAAAGTGCAAAAATGTATTTCAGGCTCAAAACAGAGTAAGTAAACCATATTAGGACAAAACCTGTGGCGTATACTATTTTATTAAATGATAAACAGATAGCTGGGCTTTTTTTGAGATATATATATATATATATGTGTGTGATGTTACAGTCCGAATCTATATATTTTTAGTGAGTTAAATTCAGTTGTTTATGTAATATAAGCAAGAGCTAATTACATTACCATGTCTATGGCATTTTCAATGTAAATTAGCATTGTGCTGTCCGCTAGCCTACATGAAGTTTTTCTTCTTGCTTTTAGCTCATTTAAGCTATTTGTTTCTCATTAGTGATGTGTAAAGCATATATTGTCATCACAGGTAGATGTCCACAGTGAGACATAATCTAAAAAAAAAAAATATCACAATATATGATTTTTTAAACTATTTATTTGTATGATACAGCTGTAAAGTAGACATAATCTAAAAACAAAAAGCATACTTTTTTTTAGATTATGTCTCTCACATTGGACATGCACCTACGATGAAAGATTCAGACCCCCCCCATAATTCAATTATACTTTAAACTTTAAACTGGAATGGATTCTTACCGTTTCCCCATAATTTCCACATAGTCCTTATGACATTTTCTAACATCTACATCAGGCTCCTTCATGCGGAACATCTTGAAAGTCACACGTACTTTTTTCCCTTGAGAGACCTGTTGCAAAAAATTTAAATAAAATACAGGTGAATCATTTGTAACATTTCTGACCAAGCATTTTACCCCAATGCACAGGGAGCATGCCTATACATCAGTGTGCACCCATTATCAGAGCATGCAGAAGTCTTGAATTTTTATCATAACAACTCTGTGAACTTTCAGTGACACATGTATACAAAAATTGCACTGATTTGTTAGTAACCTCCTTATTTTGGATGACATGCATTATATACATCAGGAAAAAAAATGCAATATTTCTGCACTGTATTCTTTGTTTGCAGTTAGAAATATCACACACTTCTTGTGGTTCTGGACAAGGTTTGAACATGCTGCAGCAGGAGTTTTCTTACCACTCCTCTACACAGATTTTCTCTAAAGGTCTGATTTATAAAACACTACATAAAATCTAATTTGTTGTACAGTGTGAGCGGTAGCTGCATGCAATGACTGAAAAAAAAAAAAAATAGCACAGTGCATGCCTGGCTTAAGACTTTTCCCGGGATCACAATGTCACAGGATCGGCTTAATGCCCTGGCCATGCTCTCTATGGAGAAGAACCTAACCAAAACCATCCTTACGTCAACCAGTCATTGAGAAATTTGCTTCTCTCAAGGATAGAAGGGCAAAATTTAAGTACAAAAAGTAAACCTGAACATGAAATTCTGTTTTGTTTTTATAAATTATTTTAAATTGTTGTTTTTTTGTTGTTGCATTCATATAAATACACTGGTGTGATAACTTAGTATATGTTTGATTGTTTTTTGGTACTCATCTATTTTGATTTTATAGCCCCCCTTGGAGAAAAATCTACCAGCAGCAACTGATTCAGAATCTGATGTATGGGCCAGTCATTTCAACAAGTACATTCAATATAGTGGACAGTATTGTGCTGTGGACTCGCCGTGTAATCTTACACTTGTGGTTTTAGACAGATTTAAATAATTGCTGTTATAAATATTTGTTGTTTTGGTATAGATGGCTGGCTAGGTAACTGGGAGCACAGTAACCTAGGCCAGTGATCCATCAAATCTTAAAGACAATTTTAGCCAAAAGGTGCAGAACTCATCTTGCCAAACTACGGTAAATTAGTTGGGCTTTTCCTTGGCACAAAAACTGTGAGCCATATACTGCCCCAAAGGACCCATTAGATAAAAGGTCTCACAAACCTTAATGGTCCACTTGCAGTCAGTGGCAGGAGGATAGAAACTTGGATGAAGTGGAGATGTCAGATTTCCATTGACTTCAGATAGGTCACCTCCACACTCCTGGGCTAAAATGCAGTATTGTTATTATGCCATTGATTATTTGACAGCTTAAAGACATCTGGAAAAATGGAGCAATGAAGTAATGGGGAATGATGATTCTGCAAAGTCTAAAACCAAGTGAGTAATATAACAAAATAAAAACAGAGTAAAATTAATCCTTAAATGCAACTAAAACACAGACATTTAAAGAAATCTCAAAATATCGGGCAGTGTGGGGTGAACAAAGGGGGGCTGGAGCACCTGCCCCCGTTACCAATTGCCGTATTGGTAGATATATAACTTTTGGAGGTTTTATTTTTTGCTGTTTCGTGTTTTTTGAAACCAAACGTCCTCTGACACCTAATGAAAACATATAGTAATAATTTCATTTATGAATTTGTTTAGTTAAAGAAAAAAAAAAAAATATATATATATATATATATATATATATATATATATATATATATATATATATATATATATATATATATATATATATATATATATATATATATATATGTTAGGCATGTAGACATGGTCAAGACAATCTCCTGCAGTTCAAACAGAGCATCAGTATGGGGAAGAAAGGTGATTTGAGTGACTTTAACGTGGCATGATTGTTGGTGCCAGAAGGGCTGGTCTGAGCATTTCAGAAACTGCTGATCTACTGGGATTTTCACGCACAACCATCTCTAGGGTTTACAGAGAATGGTCCGAAAAAGAAAAAACATCCAGTGAGCGGCAGTTCTGTGGGCGGAAATGCCTTGTTGATGCCAGAGGTCAGAGGAGAATGGCCAGACTGGTTCGAGCTGATAGAAGGGCAACAGTGACTCAAATAACCACCCGTTACAACCAAGGTGGGCAGAAGAGCATCTCTGAACGCACAGTACGTCGAACTTTGAGGCAGATGGGCTACAGCAGCAGAAGACCACACCGGGTGCCACTCCTTTCAGCTGAGAACAGGAAACTGAGGCTACAATTTGCACAAGCTCATCGAAATTGGACAATAGAAGATTGGAAAAACGTTGCCTGGCCTGATGAGTCTCGATTTCTGCTGCGACATTCCGGTGGTAGGGTCAGAATTTGGCGTCTACAACATGAGAGCATGGATCCATCCCGCCTTGTATCAAAGGCTCAGGCTGGTGGTGGTGGTGTCATGGTGTGGGGAATATTTTCTTGGCACTCTTTGGGCCCCTTGGTACCAATTGAGCATCGTTGCAATGCCACAGCCTACCTGAGTATTGTTGCTGACCATGTCCATCCCTTTATGACCATGTACCCAACTTTTGATGGCTACTTTCAGCAGGATAATGCGCCATGTCATAAAGCTGGAATCATCTGAGACTGGTTTCTTGAACATGACAATGAGTTCACTGTACTCAAATGGCCTCCACAGTCACCAGATCTCAATCCAATAGAGCATCTTTGGGATGTGGTGGAACGGGAGATTCGCATCATGGATGTGCAGCCGACAAATCTGCGGCAACTGTGTGATGCCATCATGTCAATATGGACCAAACTCCCTGAGGAATGCTTCCAGCACCTTGTTGAATCTATGCCACGAAGAATTGAGGTAGTACTGAAGGCAAAAGGGGGTCCAACCCGTTACTAGCATGGGGTACCTAATAAAGTGGCCGGTGAGTGAGTGTATGTATGTATGTATATATATATATATATATATATATATATATATAAAATAAAAACCCTTGATGCTGTGTCTGGTTAATGTCTGTGTTCGGGACCAGTTGAATTCATCTCAGCTTTTAACAGTTGTTCTGCTGGCTCCCTACTGCCAGAAGCAGTTCACAGCTGAGTGCAAAGCAGCCGGGGTGAGGATCAGTCATTTCAAGCCTGAGGCCATGGCTCTCAGATAATAAATATTGGCTTGACCTCTTCAGGTTGAAGGAGGGGTGGAGGGGTACAAGTATCCTGGGGTCCTGTTCACAAGTGGCAGGAGAATGGAGTGACAGATGGATCGGGTGGCTGCAGTCATAATGTGGACACCATCTCTTGTGATGAAGGGGTAGCTGAGCCAAAAGACAAGCTCCCGAAATACCGATCTGTCCATTTTCCTATCCTAAAATATTGTCATAACCAAAAGAATGAAATCATTGATATAAGCAGCTAAAATTAGCGTCCTTTAAAGTGTGGCAAAGCACCATCTTAAAGATAGGACGAGGGGTTTGGAATACAGCTGCTTCACCACATCAACATTGAGAGAAGTCAGCTCCCTCAGGAGGGGTTCCTGACAGACAGCATATTCAAAAGTGCATGTTTTTAGTCCAAACATGACACTGATAAATCAGAACTCTACTTCAGCCTTAACTTACAGGTAGTAAAACTCCACTACTGCAAATTCATTGTCAAGGAAAATAATTTATATTCTAATTTATGTAAAGTAAAAAAGATAAAAGGAAAAAGAAAAATTAGCATATGGAATATTATATTTTCATTAAATAGAACATGTATAGGAGCCATAATTTTAATAAGTACATTAAATGTTAATTAAAAAAAAAAGCATTGCATAGTATTCATAATATAAATTTGACCCATAAAAGTGAGTAAATGGAAACCACGGTAAGAACTCTTAATTTGTGAAAATGTACCTTTAGTTTTGGGGATGATTGTGTACTCTGCTAGAAAGCCTGGCTTCTGAACATCGGTGTCAGCAATGAAGTTAATAAGCATGATGTTACCGGATGACACAACGCTCAGGAGGTTAGAGGGAGGCCTTTGGCCGCATTGTCTGGGGATAAACAAGGAAAAGCAACCTTTAAAAACAGGTTCCAACTGAGTTATAATAATAAAACACAAATAATTTCAATGTGAATCTATAAGACAAATAGTAATTCATTTGTTTTTTATCATTCAAGATCGATCCCTTAGTACATTGATTTAACATAAAGAATAAGAAACAAACAATATCAAAGCAAGATTTGTCAGGGGAGAAAATAAATAGGAAGACTACAACCAGCACTAAACAAAATTGCTTTGGTGGATTTTTTAAATAAATATTTGTTAAATTAAGGGAAAAAAATGATTGAACATGCTGGAGGAAAAGTCACAAAGGTATAAATGACACTGAAAGAGCAGCAATATATCTACCTCCTGTAGAATATCATCACAGAGCATCATATTATAGTCCTTGTAAACCTTGGCACCTTGAATAAAGCTTATTACTCAATAGTGTTATTTAAATAAAAGGCATTTATCACTCAGTAAAGCTGTTCTTTTTTTTTGCCATTGGCTTCAGAGTTTAAAATCGCATGCAGCTATAATTGATGTTTCATTTAGAATCTGATAGGTTAAAAAACAAAACGCCACAGACAAAACGCAATTACAGCCAGTAGTGTAGTCAGATCCTAGTTGACACTTCTCATGAATTTGAAAGGAGAGGTGTTTCCGAGTTAATTTTTAATCTCAGTCAGGCTGAAAGCAGCTAATAAAAAGGGATGTATATAACATAAGGCTACGCAGAAGTAAATGTTATTACAAAACCAAAAAAAAGTAATAAAGAGGAACAGGTTCCACCTGCATAAAAACAACTTAAATCTAAATTCATTGTCAAATACAAAGTATTTGACAAAAATACGGGGTTGTCATGTGAGAATCACTAAAGGTCCCTCACATTGAAGCTGTCATGCATTGTTAATGCATAAGAAAGGAAGGTTATCTCTGCCATAGATTTACCAATGCAGAATAACGAAATATATCTATAGTTGGAGTGTTGTTTGTATAAGTGCAGGAAACAGTGAAGAAAAAACACAGATTAAAAATAGCTAAATTGTATCCATGTGTATAGTGACTAGAAATAGTAATCTTTGTACACCCTAAAAATCCAGAAAGTGTGGCAGGAATTTATGCCCTACAATAATTAACATGGCTCCTTGAGTAATCCAGTAAAGTTAAAGATCGGTTCTTATTCCATGGCCGGGACAAAGCCAAACAGCTCTAAAGTTTAACAATTGGTCAGAGCTTTTTTAAACATTTAAAGGAAACTAAGAACCTGGCATTGATCTCTCAATAACTGGAACAAATTCTTCAACTACTTCTATTTTGAGACATCCATCTCAGTCCGCTACCCTTTGCTTGTTCCACCAGCCCTAAAGCCCGGTGACACTGTGCGATTTTCAGTGCGATTTTTCAGTCGTGCGAGAATCTTTCAATCGGGCCGACTTTCAGCCTGATCGTGAGTCGTGTAGTGTACAGAGGGTTACGAGCAGCGATCAGTCTCTCACGACCACCTCCCGATTAGGAATCGTGAGGTTGAGAGAATATCAAACATGTTTGATATTCTACCAACCGGCGTGGGCAAATCGCTCAGGGCGCATGCGCAAATAAGGATTCTTCTTTTTATTCTTCCTCTCAGATGTAAACACAGCAGCATGGCAGGGATGCAATGAGTGAAATGCAGCTCCGTCTGAAAAATTGACGGACCACAGCAGCTTTTTCCAAATACGTCGTCCCCCTTTCTTTCTAGGACCCTCAGCACAAAATTGCACAAATTGACAAGGCAGCGCGGTTCACTATAGTGAGCTTAATGTCCCCCTTCTATTTGTTTGGCTTCAGGATATACAGTAGAGCTACAGAGCAGCTCCATCTCACTGCGTAGCTGAGTCTGATGTGGTTTTTAGTCATACAGTATGAGCAGGTAGATCGCATCAGAGCGTCGGGCCGAACATAAATCGTGAGCTGCTGCTCACACCGTACGACTAAACCCTGCGTTTAGTCGTACGGTGTGAGCAGCAGATGCATGCAACAATTGAAGAAGAAAAAAATCGCATAGTGTAAGCCAGGCTTAAGAGAAACACTAAAGAGGACTTTGAACAAAAGCGCCACAATTTTAAAAGCTCGCTTTGAGCATGTCAAGAAAGATCCCATCTAAAACCATGGTACTATGCAGCCATTGAGCTGCTTGTCTGTACAAAATGTTGGTTCCACTATCCCTCAAATTCTCAGTCTCCGTCCTCTATGGAGGACATGAGGAATATCTTAAGAAGATCCTCCAAGTTTTCCATCCAACACATAACATTACCTTCTGCCCCCTCCCAATAATACAGCCTGTGGTGACTCTTTCCTTCCTGTTCTGAATTGTGCCAAGGTTTTTGCATATATTTTTTAAGCCCAACAAAATATATATATATATATATATATATATATATATATATATATATATATATATATATATATATATATATATATATGTCTCTAGATTCCTTCTGTACCTTAGATTCCACTTCTTTAAATACTTTTAGAAATCCCAAGAGACAATGAAACCACCTCTACTTACAGTGTGATGGCCTGAGAGTCGTCAGGACTCAGAGAATCAAAGATTGAGACAAAGTCGTCCTTGCAGTCATCTTCAATGTGGAAAAATGGAAAACTGACAGATATAGTGTTCTCCTGTGAGGCGCGGATTTGCCACTGACAATAAGACTGTGGGGGGTAAACATCGGGGTACCCTGGAGATGAAAAGTTTTGTGCATCTTCAACTGCTTCCAGACGGAAGAAACAGTCCTCTGAGAAAAGGAAGAATATTGTTCAAATCAAAAATATTATAAGACAAGGGAAAAGTATGTCATAATTAAGAAACAAACTCAATTTTAGAGAATTTCTAATAATCCACATAAAGTTTTTAATTTTGCAAACAAATCAAGCACATGGTTCTCTATAATTATAAAATAAGAACAGAGCAACTGCAGTACAAGACAAGCCAATAATTAGTTGCAGACTGGCAGGGGGGTGAGCATCTAGCCAACCGTAAAATGACACCAGCGGGTGATTGAAACTGGACATACTGCACTCACCTTCTGTGGGTGTCCTGGCCATACGATGATCTGTTACTGGAGACAGAGACACGGGATAGGGTTAGAGGAAAGATTCAGGAGAAAGGTTCACAAAAATTGTGAAGCTGATAGAATTTAATTTAAGAGCCTAAAATATAGGGGTCGCACATTTTCAGTTCCATTTCCCTGCAGTTAATAGAGCTAGTGATGGTGCGTAGCACTTTCTGCTTCATGTCACCTTACTGTACAACAGCAACTCATAGATCTTTTTCCAACTATCAGGGACAGCACCATCAAAAATGCACCAACAAAATTATTTTAAAGTGGACCAAAAAACCGCAGAGTCACAAGGCCTAGTGATCGGCTTATTGCCAGGACATCAAGAAATGCTGGACAAGTGCTGAGGAGACAGAAGGAAGAAAAATGTTTCTCATTGCTCTAAGGCCTGGAGCCTGACTAATATTATCAAGGGATCCAAACAACATAAAGTGTGTAATCTCTTATGTAGCACAAGAGGATGGAGATCTGTCATATCTGTTATTGTCCTATAAACACAACTAAGAGCATTCCACTATGATATGGAGAGTAGAAAGGAAAGCAGTGCTCATGGAGCGTGACAAAGACCTTATTTAAATATTTCATCCAAAACATGTTAAATTTCCGGACTGTTCAATGTAATAAACTTAAGCCAGTTAAGGCTAACATAGAAACTTTAACCTAAACACTTAATTCTAATCATACTTACGTGAAGCAGTGATTTCGGTCACCCTGATTTCATTACTGTTTCTCTCTAGGCTTTGCATCTTAATGCTGTTTTCCAAGACATCCAAAACCCGCTCCTCAGATACCTCTTGTACGAGCTCCAGGCTGGTGACTGGAATATCAAACTGGGACCAGTAATAGGCAATAACTCCCTCACTGTAGTTTAGAGATTAAAAGGGGAAAAAATGACAGATTTTTTTTTTTTTTGTATTCTTACAAGGAGAAGGGTCTAATATTGTGCACAATACAAGGATTTATGATTTATAAGAAATTGTTTGACCTCCTTTTACACGATAAAAATGCAATATATCTAATTCTTAGGAACCTCTTACCTGAAGGCAGTGACTGCAGATCCTGTGTAAAACTTGCTAAGGATTGGACCATTCTGGTAGTATTCACCCAGCTGTGGTAACAAACAAAAAGGTTATGGCTTATTTCTAAATTTCTTGTACACCTTTTTAATATCCAGAATGGTCCCCAGATTATATGGAGAGAATTTTTGTTTTAAAGTAGATTTGAGTCTGTACAGCAACATTTATTTATTTATTTTTTGTCATTCATAAATAAGATTTTGTGCTGATTTAAAGTATCAGTGTGTCCGTAAAGCTGGATTTGTATTTTTTTGTAATTTGTAAATAACGCTTTATGCTTAACTTTGGGTACTTATAAATGCGTGTTCGAAAGCCAATACAAATATAATGAATTTATGAAAGTACCATAAAAATATATAAATATAAAATATCTGATATTTATGAATTTAAAAAGGTTCAGACGCATACAAACGTTTCAGTTCATGTGCACAAACGATATAAAACTCAAAAACAACACAACAGTTAAAACAAATCAAATTTAGGTTAGGAATTGTTTTTTGAAGTTTTTCAAGACATACTTCACTCTTTCAGATTCGTGTGTCTATGGAGTGTTTAAATGCTGGTATAAAGCTGGGTCATTCTAGTTTTATTCGGAGTCTAATGGGTTTTTTTTCCACTGAACTTATTTCACTCTATACCTGTGCCGAAAATGCAAAGATGATTTTCTGTGGAAAATAAGAAACCTCAGCACCCTCTAGTTATAAGACATAAACTACATCTACTTTGTATTATTCCATGATTGTTTACTTACATGAAAGTGGCAGCAATGTATTAAAATTGAAGACATCTGGGATACTATACTTACGAGTGTCTCCATTTTTTTAGCCAAAGCCTTGAATTCGCTGCTAGACGTATCCTCCAGCTGTTGGTCATAATCCACACCATCAATCTTCATATGACCACTGAAAAGCTTCACTAATGGTTTTACGTGCTTGCTTACAGTGGAATCACTATCCTCTTTAACTGAGAGAAGAAAAACACAGTAAGTTATTTGATCAACATAATGCTTTAGGATGAAGGGAAAACTTTTTTTTAAATGTCCCTTGGTTTTAAAGTACGATCGCTTGTTTTGGCTCTTATGGAAATTAAAACAGCCTCTTGAATCAAGATTATGTTTATGGAGATTTCAGAGGCCTTTATAATCAGCCACTGTTTAAAAGACAAGAAAAGTGCCACAGCTGGTGACACTTTCTCCTCTAGATTATTGAAAGGCAACGTCAGAGATGTCAAATGGGCTAAATAATTAGAAGTTAAAGTCCAAGCCACTCTTATACACTCATACATCAAAGAACTTTGCCTTCACAGCAATGTAAATGACTCACTTTCCATTGTGAGGTGTTGTGCCTATTTAGCACGAAAGAACTCTATCAATGTAAATACATTAATCTCTCACTTCAATTAAAAGTATATTTGCTGTCAAGTGCCCAAAACAACCATCCCTGTGTCTCCTCCATTTAATACATTAGGAAATAAACCGTCATTACTTACAGACAAAGAACCAAATGAGGAATCCTACAACAGCCAAGAGGACAAAGAGTCCCACAATGCTGCCGATCAGGATGCCAGTCCTCTTTGACGATGCCTTCTTCTCTTTGCTGGTTAGGAACACTATCTGCTCTTGGTGGCCATTTTGGCCCTGTGGAGAAAAAAAAAAAAAAAGGAGTAATATTAGTTTCATCCTGAAGACTAAGACTAAATCTAAGATGGAAAAACAATACTGATTACAGAGAAGTATGAATTATAAAATAATTTTTAACATTGACTAATATATCCGTGTATAAGCTGTATACATACACACCAATAATTATAGTGATTAAGTATACCAGCATCTAGTCAGTCATTGAATATATCAATATCCATAAACATCTCTCAGCTTTGTAGGGCTGTTGAAATTGATTATGTATCTGTTAATTGCGTTTTCTGATATGATACAATCACCCCAAACCATATTTACCAATGTGAAAAGTTGAGCATTAATGTATTAAATGAGCTAAACTACATGAAAATGGGGGTTTTTCTTACGCTACATATCTGATAGTGAGGAAATGTGACTCTCAATGCGCTCACAGCCTTATCTCAAGAAACAAGGAACATTTCTGCTAGCTTTCATGGACAGGTGAACACCTACTCCAAATACATAATTTAATACAACCAACATGAGCTCGGATTTCCCTGCTGGACAAAAATACAGAAATATTGTAAGAACATTATCTAAACAATAATATGTTAGTTTTATTTTTTGAAAAGTTATCCCCCTCCTCAAGTCCTGACGTGAAAAGTCTGTTGATTAGAACAAAACATCCCTCACAATGCCAAATAATCTGCTGCCGTTTTGGTTAAGCCAAGTACAGTAGGTGGTATGACAGCAAAGATGAGGAACACATTTTATACGCCCGAGCTGCCAATGTCTACCACCTACTGCTTATTATGTACATGAAATTATATATTTTCATTTAATGGTTAAGAATCTTTCTATTGCAAAACTATTCAGCAACACAATTTCTTTCATACTCATAACACTGAGGGCCCTGTTACACTTTGCTGATTTAGATAGCCCGACTTCCCAGAATCTCCTAAAACGCTGGCCAGTGTTGGGGAATAACGGATTACATGTAACGATGTTATGTAAATTAATTACAAAAAAAAGAGTAACTGTAATTCGTTACAGTTACAATGAGAAAATATGTCAGTTACAGTTACTTCCGAAAATATTAAGATTCACAAATTTAGTTACATTTTTTTAAAAATATAAAGAAAAACCTTTGCGAAATATGTCATGATATTTTATTGCTTCGCGCCCTGTATCGCCCTTTCCCGCCACGGCTCCTTGTCTCTATTATATTTGCCACTCTGATGATCCATCCTGTGCTGGTGGAGCCTCCTTGAGGAACAGCAAGCGAGCGGACGGTTCTATTTCAGCTCAAGCAGCGCATCAAACAGTGATGGGCAGTAGCGCCGCTACATGTAGCGAAGCTATTAGTTTAACTACATGTTCCAGTAGCTTGACCGTAGCGTCGCTGCTTTATTTATCAAGTAACTTTCCTGTAGTGACGTTATTGCTTTGATCAAGTAGCGACGTAGCGTCCACAAACGCTAAAAAAATCCAGGGCATAACTAAGAAATGAAACCAGGTTTTCTATTTTAAAAGAACACAGTTATTCGTTGGACATTCATGCATGAGCCTCTATTCTGCCTCTTCTGTGTGTATCTCCCAAAACATGCGCATGTGCACGGTAGTGGAACTCAAAGAATGACACACACAGAGCCACACACACAGGATGGAGGAGGAGACAGGAGCAGAGCGAGAAGAGCAGCCAACTGTCCCTTCCACACCGTGGCCTTATCTTCAGAGATTATGAAACTTGTTGAATCCTCAGATTAAAAAAATAAGTGTACAGATGTCTGCTTTGCAATAAAAAAAATAAATAAATAAATAAAAAACTGTTGTAACCGTCCAGGACATCCAACACCAACCTGAGAACTCACATTCAGGTGTATCACTAATTTCCCTCCTGCAGTATGCAAGGAGGGAAATTAGAGTTTAATAAGGTGACTAGAGATGTCCCGATCCAGGTTTTTGCACTTCCGATCTGATACCGATATTGTTTTTGGACTTCCGATCCGATACCGATATTGGCCGATACCAACCTATCCGAGCATGTATTTAAGTTTAAGTTAAAGTATTTAGCCTTAGTTGTAAGACTCATGTTGAAAAGGGTTTTAGTACTCTTGATAACATCTAGCCAGCTGAATTAGGTGAGATTGAATAAAACACAATGATTGGTAACAACAAACTTACCTGTTTATTAAGAGATAAACTGGACAAAATTATGAATAGCAATCTGAAATTGCACAGTGAACAGTAAAACCGTAAACAGTTAAAGGTGCAAGTATTACTGTAAGTTTTAATAAAAATGCAAAACAGACAAGAGTGGAAAATAGTCTATTAACTTAGAATCAGGACTCTACTCTTGAAAAAAGACACTGCTTAAAAAAAAAATCTGTGCAAATAATAGTGAACTATTACACAAAAATGCCTTATACTCCCCAATCTCCTCCACACCTAGTCTCCATCTACACATCGTGCAGGATAAAATAATCCCACACGGCTGACATTTTCCCCGCTATCTTCCGATTCACCTGTTTTAATGGTTAGGCCGGGAGACAGACCCAAAAAGACCTGTGGGTGTTTTGAAGGTGTTCTGGAAAATGCGGACCGGGTTTGGGGAACACTGGTGCAAAATAGTGGAATGGATTGTTTCAATCGGCGAAACTGTAAAATACGGACCGGATTTTTTTTTAAAAACTGGATCGGCAGTCTGGATCGGCATTTTTACATGCTGTGCCGATACGCCTTTTTTGGCCAATATCGGCGTCCGATCCGATACGTGGATCGGGTCGGGACAAGCCTAAAGGTGACCGCTGTAGGAAGGAAGTGGTTTCTGAACCTGCTTGTGTTAGTCTGCAAACTGCGTAAATGGTAGAGCCTGGGGGAGGAACAGAAAAGTGTATGGCCCGATGAGAGGAGTCTGAGAAAATCTTACATGCCTGGTGCTGGCATCTCTTCTTGTGGACATCCTGTGATTGCCTGTCAGCAGTTCCCTCTCAGCTTAGTGCTTTTTTAAGGTTCACATTCAGTTCTCAAAAATTAAATGTTGAACATGGGTCAATACTCATTAAAACCTTAAAGTAATCAAAAGTAATTAGTTACATTACTTTTTTAAAGTAATCGAAAAAGTTACACTACAATTACATTTTAAACAAGGTAACTTGTAACTGTAACGGATTACATTTTTAAAGTAACTTACCCAACACTGACGCTGGCATATGCTAACGTTGCTTGTATTTTTTCAATTTTGGGCATATACATAGTGATTTCATGATGCGTCCAGAACTTACGTCCAATGAAAGCCTAACTTATGCATAACACATGGCAGCATAATGCCCATGAATTGATGCACAAGCCACTGTCCTAAAGGGAGCAGCGATGTGCCCGGAGGTGCCTGGTCTGCATAAAAAGATGTCTTTGATTGTGATATTAAACTGGCTGCTGTTTACCGCCCCCCCAAAAAAAAACTAAATAAAAAGAAAAAGACAGAAAGAGGGTTTGCAGTCGCAGCAGATTCAGCGTCATGTCTGCAAGGAAGTTTGTTGGTCGTGGCCGTTGGCGTGAACACAGAGAGGATCCATCACACTAACCTTGACGCTCACCCTATGATGTGGATGAAGTCTGGAGGAGTTCAGATGGTTTCCACCTGTGAACCCCTTTTCATACCAAAAAGCTGCCAATACGCCATTATACAGTAGCTGTAAGTTAGAATCACGTTCAGTGGTCGTCTGGAACATGTCAGATACGTTGATGTACGTTGGAAATAAGTTCTTGATAAGTTACACACAAGTTACTCATAGGTTTTGGACCATGTAGACACCATGACTTATGAGTAACTTACACTTAATGTATGTCAACGATCAGATAACTTACCGGTAACTACTACTGATGTATGGCATACGCTGGCGTACTTGCCATATGTCGATGTGTGCCAGCATTTTTCAGCATTCTTCAGCGTGCTCATGACTTATACAAAACCTTCCCATAACTTATCCAATGCATACCAGCGTTTTTGCCAGCTTTTTTTGTGCGTTAGGCATATGCTGGTCTAAATTGTCATGGTGTGAGAGGGGATTTACCATCAAATGCAGTATGGCCAAGAAAAGATGTTTATTTCAGTGCTTAACTGTTTATTATCTGAATAAGCTGCCAGCTGATTAATATGCTCCTTGGTTGATTGCATCACAGTGTCGTTTAAAACTGCACTCCAGGAAAGCACACCTTGAAGACGAAGCTGGTAACAGGACATTGTCATTAGGATGTCCGTGTTAAAAAAACTTGAAGAGTTAATATGTCCTGTCGATGATGCAGGCAGCTTAGGGCTGAGCCTCTGTCATTCCAGTATGGCAGTTGAAAGAAATGCGACAGTTTGGACAAATGTGCAGGGACAAGCTTTGGCAGGACACATTTTCTCAGAATCTGTTCTGAAACACTGATATGCCTAAAGGCTTCGTTATGTTTGACACAAGTACCTCCCTTCCTGAGAATGAGAGCGTCTGCAGCTTTTACCCTCCATGAGACTTCTCCACTTATAACTAATATTCTGGCCAGCTTCAGGGTGTCATGTATAGCAGAAACTGCAAGCTTGCAACAATGCATGAGGAAGGCAATAGTAATTTGTTTCCAATAGATTTTCAAAGCCTGTTAATTATAGTGATATCTATTGGCTAAAACAAGACAAGGCATATTTTTGTGAAGTCTTGCAGACAGGAGCTGTTATAATTTTCCTAAGTAAAAGGTGCAGGTATTCTTACAGAACTTCAGGCAGAATCTTAAATTATGTAATTTGGCTTTCAGGACCTCGGGGACACATCAAGTATAAATCAAGCTTATAAGACCCTAAAAACTCCTTGGCAACGTGCTTTACATTCGTTCAGAAACTAGGGGATGAGTGAAGAGCTTTGGAAAAATACAACCAGCGGCTTTAAAAAGCACTTTAAGAAATAAGTCTGTTGTTGATCTCTTAAGTAGGTATAAGGAGAAAAAAAACACACACACACAATGAATGAAAAATGAGTGAAGACCCC